TGGTGGCTTCGAGTGATTTGGAATCTTAGAAATAAAAGTGAAGGCCCAAGTGGGATGCAGAGGCTGTGGGGGAGGGGAAGGCACTGCTGGGTTTGGCCACTGTCGTGGTTGCTGTATCTAGGCTGTCCCAGGCTGTGCTCCACTACACCATGGACCACGCCATCCCAGATGCCTGCCGTCACAGGAGGGCAGCTGAGCCCTCCCACCCTCCTGCAGGAAAGGAAGAGCCCCTCAAGGATGAGTTTCAGAGGCCTGCCGCCTGGGAGCCGGGATGGGGGTCTTGATGGGGGTGTGCTCCAAGTGGGGTGACATCAGATCACATTGCCTGTCATTTATAACACAGGCCTCCTTGGAGCCTGACTCTTGACTAGACTAAGGCAGGGCCAGGGCCCACAGGCAGCCGGGTCTTTGTGCCAGTTTAAATGCCGGCATGTAGGCAGCCAGCTAAACACTTCTTGAAGTTGCATTGCAGCTGAGTCCCTTTCAAGATTTTGCCTCTATCAGAAAAACAGTCCTACTTATTGAGAGAACAGAAATACATTCTTTGTGAGAGTTTTTCCCCCTTTACTTGATCTCTGTCACTAACTGTACATAGCCATAACTCCTGTCTTTTGAATAAAGCTTTGATTTTAAATTTCTTCCTCAGAAGTAACTGAAAATTGCAGAATTTCAGTTCCATGAAATGCCAGGGCTGGCTTTCTTTTAAGCAATCACGAGACCAAGGCCTTTTCTACACATTGCCTCCAAGAGCAGTTAATGGCTCTGCTACTGTCACATGCTGCCTGCCAGTCCGAGGAAGGGTGAGAGGAGGGATGATGACTAGAGGGACAGTGTGGGACTCTGGAAGAGGGCACCGGCTTTGGAGCAGCCCTGCTCATTGGCCACAGGCTGCTTCTGCATGTGCAGAATGGGCGTGAGAGCTGTTCAGGGGCGATGGGGAGGAGGAATGCGATGCGCTTACAGGGTCTGACCCTCAGGAGCACCAAGGGAGGTGCTTCTAGATCCTTTGTCTGACCCCCACGAGGGCGTGGGCCCTGGCTGCCCACAGCAGCTGCACAGCAGAGCTGAACCAGCCTGCAGATATCCCCTTCCCTTGACATAGAAAAGATCTCTGCCACTGGGCTCCTTCCAGGGTACGTGTTCTGTCTCTATGCAGGAGTGACAGTTTGAGCCCCCTTATCAACCCCACCTCCTCAGAAAAAAGACGATATAAAGAAAACAGGCCGAGGGTCTTGTGTGTTTTCATGCTTTAATTCAGAGCTGTCTGCTGCAGGCACAACTCTGAACAAAAGGACAAAGGAGACACAGTAGATGCCCCTCCCCACCTCCCCCCTTCCCGGACCCCCTGAATGCTGTCAAGGGGATGGCTGAATATAAGAGTGCACTGTGACTCATTTGCACTGTGCCCCTAGGTCAGAGGGGATCATGAGGTCACTGGGCAAAGGCCCCTCAGTAGATCTTTGCCCCAGAACCCTGTCATTTGCCCATCTGTCCCCAAGGTGCTGTCAGATACCTGTGTGATGGTGATTGGGAAGGGTGTTCAGTGAAAAGCTAAGTTATACCGTTGGGAAATATTCAGTAAACTCCACTCGAGGCCAGCTGTGTGTGCAGAGCCCTGGCCCCGACTCTGATTCCTGCCTGAGCCTGGACCAGAGGAGCAGCAGGGACGCTCTGGCCTGGGCCCTACAACTAAGAAGACACTTCCGGCCACTGGGCTCCAAAGGACTAGCAGTTCCAGAAAGTGGCTCCTGGAAACACTGTCCCTTAGGATCTAATCAGCTCTGGCAGAGGCTGGGGAAGGGGAGGCCCCAAAGATCTCTGCTCCAGAAGCAGAGGGCAGGAGGGAAAGGTCACAGTCCAACAGGAGGAGGTATTAAGCAGGTAACTGGAGAGTGAGCACTCAACAGCCCCGGCCCCTGGCCTTGCCCCGCAGCCCCACATTCTGTGCCCTGCAGAGTCGGGGGACAGGCCGCTGTGCCTCCACCGCCTGGAGCCACACAGGCAGCGCTGCACCTTTTGCATAGATGCGGACACTGAGCACACACACGCACACATCGTCCCAGGGTCACTCCCAGGGCTGCCGGGAAGCCGCTTCCTCCACTAACACAAAGAAAAAAAGCCTGTCGAAGGCCCCACCAGACCCCTCCCTCCCGAGAGGACCTTCAGTGCTGTGAGCAAGGGCCCCTGTGACCCAGACAGGCAGGTCTCAGGCCAGAGGAGGCAGAGAGGGTGGCGGCTGGATACACCTTATCCAGAGGCCTTGGGTTCGAGCCCCAGCCAGCCCTTTGCCAGTGGCTTCTCCAGTAGCAGAGACAGCATGGACTATGGCCCAGCCCTGACCACGTCCACCAACACACAAGACACAATAGGAAGGCCACAGACAACAAGACGGACAGGAGCAGAGGGGCTGCGCAGCTCCACTAAATTCCAGTGGTGAAAAATACATAGGTTTTATGCTGTCAAACAGTCATACATTTATTTTCTCGGCAAAGCTTTGACTATTTCTAAGGAGACACTATGCAGCTCTGTAAGTACACGGCACAGGAGGCTGGGCTGGTGCCCTGTCCCAACTTGGCTTTGGATTGGGTTTATCCACTGCCCCTCCATGCCACGACCCCAGTGTCTTTGGGGCAGCCTTGGCTAGGCCCCAGGAGTTCAGGTTTGGTTCGGCTGGGGCAGGGGCTGCTCCACAAAGGATGGCTGGTCTAAGGCCCTGACCGAGGTGGGGGAGCTTTGGAGGCACAAGCGCATGGCAGAGGGGCTGTTGCCCCGATGGCTGGGTGGCCGCCCACTCCCAGTGCATGCAGGTGCCGCCCCCTCGAGTAGAGGGCACAGAGAGGAAGGGCAGAGCCCATGAGTCAGGCAACGACTGCCAGAGCAGCAAGTGGGCAAGCAACCTTGGCAGAGAACCAGAGTGGTCCCTAGGCCAGAGGGGTGAGTAGGACACAGTCCCACCAACCCCCCTAAATGTGGGGCTTAACTCTGAAGAGTAGGGGGACCACCGGGTGGGTATAAGCCCTGAAGGGAAAAAGGATTGGGTTTACTTTGTAAAATAATAATGGTAATAAAATATCAGCAGCTTTTCTGGGGGGCCCAGATGTGGTCCTGGAAGAGGAGGGAGGACAATGTACCTTCCCAGGCCTACTGGGCTCAGGCTGGGAGCAGGAAGGCTGCAGGGCTCCCACCGGCCCCACCCCACCCCAACCCAGGGAACATCCCAGGGCACCTGCTTTGGCCTGGACAACATCATGGCTTCAGGGCCCCACCTCGCCATTCATCCTGCCGTAATCCCCCCTGAGGCAGATAAGATTGAAGGACCCTCACCCTAGAAAGTAAGCAGCCCCCTCGCAGGAGGTCCGGAGATGCATGAGAACCAAACCCCAAAGTGAACACAGTGCAAAGCAGAAGTTGAGCCTGAGGCCCCAAAGTTGGGGAGAGCTCCAGGGGCCATCATGGCCTCTGGCTTCTCATATCAGCTGAGGACTGCTGAGCCAAGTGGCCTCCTAGACCACAGGGCTTCATCTCTGCAGGCTGGAGGAGCCCCTGAGCTGCCAGCTCCTGCCTCCTCTCCTCGTGCTGGCACTCTCTGGAGGAAGCATTCCTACCCCAGCACTGAGCCTGTCTGGCTCAGCTCTTACAGGAAGAATTAGCTGACACGCCCAGAAGCGCCAGGAGGAAAATGGACTGTAGGGAAGGTATGGGATAGACAGACAGATGCAGAACCCACCCTGCCCTCTGCCACCTCTTGCCCATTACCATCTTTCCACCCAAGCGGGAAAGTCTGAGCAGGCTGGAGCTCCAGCCCAGGCCCAGCAGTTCCAGACCTTGCTCGGAGTCCTGGGTCAGGTGTCTGTACTTTGGGTCGCAGCTGCCTCCATCTGAGGAGATAATACTGGTCCAGAAGCCGCCCTGAGGGCAAGGGGAGGCATGGAGTGATCAGGGAACTGAACAGGATGTGGAGGCGTGGGGGATGGGAGACTAAAGTGGGCGACTGAGGCCCAGCCTCTCCAGATCAATACACCAGAGACTTCCTGAGCAGGGGCTGCCCTTGTGTAGGGCCAGGCAGACGGGGCTGGGTTGAGGACTTCATCACGTTTCCTCTCTGCACTTTGTCCAACAGTGTGCCTCCCTGCCTTTGGTCTCTCTTCCCTTCTCTCCTGTCCAAGATGTTGGGATGACCTCCTCCAACTCCAACTCCCAGCCCCTGACACTGTTAACATCCTGGAAAATCCACTTCCAAACCCAAAACTAAATAAATAAGATGATGCCCACAGGAATACATGAGAGGGAGGACGGCACCCCTACATCAGCGGTCAGGCCACCCCAGCCACTGGCCAGGAAAGGCCTCCTCAGAGCTGGGAGCCCCCGCCTGCCGTGCTCGGGCCCTGCTGGCTCAGTGAGCGGCAGCTGATCCTGCGGATGGAGTGCAAGGCCACCGTGCAGCAGCCCCGCAGCAGGGAGCTGATGTTGTAAATGGGCTGGCCCTGGCGCCGCTGGGAGCGGCAGAGCCAGGCCACTGTGGGTACAGCTGGCACCACCACGGCCAGCAGATCCACAATGTAGTGTCGGCTCCAGTAGCTCTTGGGCTCCTTCTCGGCTGAGTCTGCCTCCTCCTCGTCTTCCACGGGGCACGCCACGCTCACCGACAGGCTGGGGTTGGGGTTGGCACCAGGCCGTTGTGAGGTTGGCCCGCAGGTGATGGGCTCCAGGGCCTCAAGCTCATCACCCACCGTCACCACCACTGCTGAGTTGGGGTCTCTGGGCCCTGGGGGGTGGGGTTCCGGCTCCGGGCACCTGGCCCCTGACTCGGGACCTGTCCCACAGACCTGGGCCTTGGTCACCTTCTCCAGAATGGTGTCTAGGTCGGGCTGGTACTGCACAAAGTCTGTCTGGATGGCACGCTCCTGCATGCAGCTGGCCTGCACGCCAGCCTCCATGCCACACAGCAGCTTCTCATAGGTGTTGCTGGCGGGGAAACGGGGACCCAAGCTAAAGGAGCTGTGCAGTGAGGCCTCCTCAGGGCCACAGTCCACCCCCGATGACAGCAGGCTGCTGGCCTCCAGTGCATCCGTCCGGCTCACTGTGTCATCATTTGCCACGAAGCCACTGTCAGCCCCATCCTCAGTGGAGGAGCCAGGGTGGTCCCCAGGGGGCTGGTCCCCACAGACGGCTGGGTCACTCAGCTTGGTGTAGGTGGAGCTTCGGGTGAGGGAGCGGGCGGGAGAACCGCCTGCTGACTCCCCGGCGCCGTCCTCCTTGGCCATGCCATTCTGGGCCACCTCCA